ACACAAGAAAAGAGTCAACGATGCACCAGCGACTTCCCCGAGAGAGCAGTCCTTGTCACAGGCATCAGCCCGAGCGAGCCCCACAAAGCTCGATGCTGAACCTGGATACTACAGGCACAGGATTTGGAGCCGGAGGATGCAGCTCGTTGGTGCCATGAAGAAGCTCAACTACGGGACTCTCGTCACAAGCGCTAGAAGGCAGCTTCGACTAAAAGTCCACAGCAGTGCATCCGTAAATCTTGCGGACTTCTCCACACAGGCATGCAGTGCTGTGTAGTTCTACCACAACAGTCAGATGTTGATGCAAACCTGCGTGCCAAATCGGAATGCGAAACTGCTGAAACTTCAACGGGCAGCGGCGGAGACCATGAAACCGCAGAAGTAGCAAAGCCCCATACCTGATGCATTGCTCGACTTCTGAGTGCGACATGGCAGACACAACATTTGCAGATGTGGCTTCCAGCCTCTGATCAGGAGATCCCTGGTGATCCACCAGGAGGTGCTCCAGTCCATTCCTAGCGAATGCTATGCCGCTCATAGCACAAAGACTTGGGAGGAATTCAGAGGCTTCTGATGGCTTAATCAGAAAGACAGACAGGCAGACAGGTTGCTAGATAGACAAAAAAATCGAACACATTCGTGCACCGCAGATTCGCGCACTGGGGAGGCAGGTGCACGCACGCAGGATTCGCGCACTAGCATGCAGGATTCGAGATTCAAGTTCCATGGATGCGTGCACCGGCCGTGCAGATTAAAGCGCCAACACGATTTTCGACCCGGGGATTCGTGCAAGGCTGCCGGGATTCGATTCAGGGCTTCAGACTTTAGGGCTTCGGAGTCTTTGCGCGCTCAGGTTTTAGGGTTGCGGTTTCCAGCTAATCCCAAAGCCTGAACAGCCCTCAACCGTCAAAACCGAAGACCCTAAACCGTAGGACCCCAAAGACTCGGCTCGCCTGGCACCCCAAACCCCCATGTCTTTAGATCTATGGCCCTTGACCCCAAACCCTTAAGGCTCTAGAATCCGACTAGAATCCCGAAGCCCTAAACCCCAAGCTCTAGAAACCTAAAGTGAGTCGGCGAGTGCTTGAATCGGGCGTGCTTGAAACAGGATTCGTGCTTGAATCCTGGCTGCTTGAATCGCTGGCGTGCTTGAATAGTGAGTGCAAGAATCGCACTGCTAGAGTCGGGGCCAATGCTCGAATCGCATATGTGGATGTAGGTAGGCAGGCAGGCAGGCAGGCAGGCAGGCAGGCAGGCAGGCAGGCAGGCAGGTAGTTACATGGACGACAGGACAGATAGCTTATACTGCGCTGAACTTGTATTTTGGCAAGATACTGTGTGACAACAACACTCAGAATTCATCGACCAGGAGCGAAATCAAGACAGAACGCAAAGCAGTACTGGGACAGTTCCCGCCTTGCTTTCGACCACTGCCTTTCAGGAGAGCTAGAGGTGTAAGTGAAGCCGCAGCCAGTGCCGCCAGGATGGGCGCTGCCTGGCGGTTTTGGCTCGTGCAGGTAGGGATTCGGGAGTGTGGGGGTTGTAGTTTGGCCCTTCTGTTGTATATTCAGTTGCGAACGGCCAGATAGAGTGAGAATTGCCTGCACCCCATTTCCATTTTGTGTTGACTAGCTTGTCCTCCGGTGTCAGATGCACATATACCTCGCCGGGATTCCCACAGACGCAACAAAGGCTGCAAACTTTAACTATCTTCTCGTAGTCTGCATTCTCCGGGAAGCAGTGACTAGCACAATCGCCACGTGATGAATTAAATTGGATTCACAGTCAGTGGTCAGTTGGCTGAACTGCAACGGAAGCCACATCTAACCAGTCGCTCATGGTGAAGTCTTGCGCATTCTTCCAGCTCAAGGGCAGCTTTGCCTCCCGGCGACGAGTACTGCAGTGTCAAAGACGAGGCTGGCCGTGACACCGTGATGCTGCCACATACTGTCCGGCCTTCGCCAGAGAAGATGCCAACAACTTGAGGAGAGCCGGAACCTGTGTGTGTCTGTGCGTGCGTGCGTGCGTGTGCGTGCGGGCCTGTGTACGGGCGTGTGGGTGCGTCTGAGTCTATCTGCCCTGTGTGTCTCTGTGTCTCTCTGTGTCCGTGTCGCTGTATCGCTTTCTCTGTCCGTCTGCGCCTGTTTGTGCGCATGCGCATGCGGGCGTGCCTGACTGCAAGGGCTTTCAGTTTTTTTCGGAATGACATGGGACAACTTTAAGAGCTTTAGGACACATGCTATTGAAGCTTTCGCGGTCAACATGCATGGTGATCATGGCAGCCGACACCGGTAAGTCTAAACCTATCTAGTAGCACTACATGACTCTCACTAAACTGTTCCACTTCGTCTACACCGATGACACCTACGACCTCAATATATTCCAACGAGTATTGCAACTGCCAAAGCCATGGAGCCTGGGGAGTCGACCCAAAGGAATCACTAGAGTGCGTGCGAGTGAGAGAAGAGAGAGTGAGGGAGAGTGAAAGAGAAAGAGAGAGAGAAGAGAGAGAGAGAGAGAGAGAGAGAGAGAGAGAGAGACAGAGACAGAACTATCCGAGTGACTTAGTACATGGGCAAACCACATCCAGAAACTTGGTCTTATGGGAAGCAGAGCTGGCCAGACCCAGTGTGGCAGGAAGGGTGGCGTTGAGTGCATTTCAGTTGTTAACGTGACAGGGTGTCTCGAAATGTACGATCATGTATGAGCCTGTGTACGCAATTGACGGTGTGCTAGCAAGGATGTGAGCAGTTGAATATGAAAGCTTGATGTACGCTTATGGTGCTAGTGCAACGAAAAGTGCATCCGGAGCTACACCCTTCCCGCCCTCTCCCTCCCATCTCCCTCGTCCCCCCTCATGACAGTTTTTATTGAGGATCGGAAGCTCTAGAAAACTCTGCAAGGCAAAGCCTAAACGGAAAACTCGAAGAATCCGAACCCCAAATCCGACCCTTTAATCTGCGCAGTGCCGAGTGTATCAGTACTGTGTGCAGCCCTCGGCCTTAGCAATCCCCCAACATCCCCCAACCATTACGACCTCTCACCTTAAATCCGAAAAGCCAATTAGAACAGGTCCCACGTTAAACAAGCTTCAAACTTTGGTGGAGCCCATCAGGGTGCACCAGTTTTGGGTTGTAGGGTATTCAAAGGCGAAACCGATACGGCTGAGTCGCACTATCGCTTATGAGTGCATCAGCTTGCCAGATAGTACCGGTGAGAGGGCGAGGGAGAGTCAAAAAAGTCCAGAAGTCAATCAACTGGCCATTCATTCAGCCAGCCAACAAGCTAGCTGAGTTACTGCAGCGACAATCCAGTAGCCATCCAGAAAATCCCTGCCTCTGTCTTCCAGAAGCTGACCTTTCCGCGAGGACATGTGCATGGGAGACTTGCGTTCCACATTCCAGACGGGAACCAGCACTTCACACCAAGCCATGTATGTAACATGCGCTGGGTGCTCTCGGTAGGCTTTCCACGCTGACCCTCGCATAGTCGAAATTCAGCTGATGCAGCTTAGACACAAAAGTAGCCCAGCCGCTATGCAGAAGACCAGGGAATCGCGCTGGCACTTCTGCAACGAAATTGGCAAGCTTCCTGCAGTGGCAAGAAGACCACACCAGCATCACCAATAACCATCATAACACAAAAACCAGCACCAGAGCCAACTCAAGAAGATCAGCTGCCATGCCCTCCAACAACAGCAGCAGCGACCACAGCACCTCCACAAATGTCGAAAAAACACACCAGTCACGAGCGCCGCAACTGAAAACAAACGCCATGCCGAAGCACAAAAGAACAAGAAGAATAAGTACAGCGGCAGCAACACAATAGCAGCAATACTCGATCACGACCATTGCAACCGCCAAAACAGCAGCAGCGGCAGAAGACAGCAGAGCAATCTGACTCGACAAAGCCATGGGTCATGGCCAGGTGTGCAAGCGGTGCTGCAGCACCACCGGCAGAATCCATCTGATCTATGTGACACCCACCAGCCCCAGGTGCAAAGCAGCGCTGTCTGCAGCTCTGCTGGATCAGCAAGACGGGATGAAGCAGTGGCAGGCCGAAGAATCCGCCCGAGGATTGAAACTCGCGAAATAGCGCAATTTCTACAACAGACAGCTACAAGTGGCTCTTGAGCACTTTATTCGCGAGCCGGTCAGAGCTTCGAAACAATCACGACTCAGCTGCCTCAGGCTGATACTGGTAGCAACAATGACACATGCCGCTGCACCGAAGAATTGGGAACGAATTTTGCTGCTCGGCGAAAGACAAGATCCGCGAGATGTGACGATCTTCGTCATCCATCGCAATCTTGGTTGGGCAATCACAGTAAACACCGGACACCCAACATCTCAAAGCAGGCCGGGTTATCGAACAGAATCTAACGCGCTTGATGGAGGAGCTGTGATATCGATAGCTGCTTGATGCTGACTGGTCTGCGGCACAATCTGGATTCGCAAGAGATCCTGCCATCAACGTGATTGGCGTCTCTGATGTTTAGAGGCAGCCTTGGAGCCCTCCTATCGGAAAGGAACTTATATGTACATGAACTCGACGTCCATCTCCTTCAGAGATGAACCTACTTCAGAGATTTCAGTGGGCCTTCAGTTCACGCCAAGACATAGTGGAGCGCACCCTTGGAAGCCGAGCGACCACATGGGGGACGACCTGCATGAAAACCATGAAGAGTGACCGGAGCGGTTAACTTGCTAAGCATGCTAAGCATGCAGTCCACAATCCACATTCCGATCACTTCGTTGCACTCTGACATTGCTGGGCAGATGCCACGAAGATACAACACTGCAGCTACTCATCATCACAACTGTTGTCCCTATCTTGGTGCAATCGCGCACCGCACAAACGGAAAGCGGCACCCATGTTTGCCATTATCCCTCGTGAAGACCTGCTCACAGTGGCTTATTCAAGTACCAATGCCGAAGCGACTACGTACAAGCTGGCAAGAATACCTCCCACAAACATGAGATAACACAGGATGGCGCCACCTAATATCTCGCCGGTGTACCCAATTCCTTGCCAACGCAATCCAGAATCATCAAGCCTGGGTTGTGCATCTTGCACGCATTCCCGCATTATTGGCGGAGAGATCTCGCTAGACAAAGCACATCGAGCAGCGAGGCGCGACATTTATCATGTCGGAGTCTGTTGCTAGTAAACCTATGATGTCCTGCTAATGCCATAGGCTCAATACCGAAGAAGAATGCAAAATTCATCCGGGTTGCCTGGTTGACAGTGCCTGGGGCCTCGGCTGCAGAGGGCATATGTCGCATATGGTCACGGCCCTTCCTTCACTCAGAACATGCACACACGTGAAGGCATAACGCGGTGAGTTTGCTCTGCTCGCCTCGAGACGTTTTCAAGCCACCAAGGCACAGTACTTGAAGAAGTCAGGGTCCCGGTCTGTGTCCTGCGCAGCTGCTCAGCAAGGCTGACTGGCTTCTTCAACCACCTGTACTGACCTCGAGCTTTCCTTTCAATCTAGGGCTTGGTGCCTCCGCGCGCATTCGACGGAGTGCTGCAAGGATCGCATCGAGCTGATCGTTGAGTCCGAAGCCTTGTTTTTCGAGGTTTTCTCGCATGTGCAAATCGAGCGGCGTGTATACTGCAGGTAGCATTTGTCATAAGCAAAAGCCAGCCGCACCACCGGTAAACAGCTCCAAAGTCCAAACCCAAATCAGTTCATCAAACTGACCTGCATGCAGTAGTACTCTTTCAAAGCCATGCAGGTAACCTTGCGGTTCTTGCCTCGACAAAAAAGGTTGGACTTGAATGGCTTTTGGGCAATGCTCAGACTGTCGTGCCTATTCTTGATGTAGCTGCTTGCAGCTATTTCTGGGCCACATGTGTACGTCTCTGCTTCCAGGCCATGGGACGCGCATGGCGTGCCACGTCACTGCAGGTAGCCGAGCAAGACTCCTTCATGACAGCACTGCCAATATGAACACGCAGAACAGATCTGCCAACCAGCAGAGCTTCGCAACCGCCGCACAACCTCCTCTGCCGGCCTCATGAGCGCCCTCAAGGTTGCCATAAGTGCGCGCAAAGGTCCTCACGGTACCTCCGAGAGACTCGAGACGGCTTCATCTCCAGGTTTAGGTTTCTGGTTTTCTGGGGACTCTGACTTTCAACATTAGAAACTCCGCCAAGTTATGTACATCCGGAGCTATCCAACAGGCTTCACTCTCGCGTCCAGGGCCTAGTTCTGCTCAGACTACATGTCAATGTCATCGCCTTGTGCTCGATGCGAGATATGCTTGCAACTTACACCCGAGTTCCTAGATCGTAGATGCTGGGCTTGGTCAGTGCATGGCCAGGAAAGCCACGACATCTACCTCTCTTCGCATAGTCATGCCAGGGCATGCCAGGGCCAATACCGGCAAACTTTCAAAAATGGTGCCTGGCGTTGGCCCCTTCTGTCGGCTAACAAAGCGCCTTCCCAGCGCCGGTCGCGCCGCGGAACATGCTTGGCAGCTTTGTCAGCAGCCGTAAGGACCAGCTTGGGACCTCGCAGACCCCGCGTGTGCTTGCGCATGGGTTTAGTCACTCGTCTTCCGACTTCGTGGATGCGAAAGACTCGTAACAGTAGGCAGAGCGACGGAGGCAACTCGTTTATTGCTCGTAGCAGGTGATGTCTACAGAGCCGATCCCTCCCTTTCTGTCTATGCATTTTCGGGCATCACCATCTGCGGGAACCGAGTTACACAGTCTTCCTCATTGGCTGGTTCATGTTGAGAGCTTTGACCGAACAGCTACTCTGAGTGTCTCTAGAGACCGCCTCGCCGCAGAGGTGAGCTGCCCCAAATACGCAACTCGAAGTAGTCCTCCTGATCACAGGCTGTAATATGTTGTAACTATTCCAACTTTTGCTGGGCGTAGTTCTGTCTGCCGGAAAATCCGACAGGCGACAATGCCGCGGCTCAGCTCTTTCACCAGAGTAAGCACATACTGGCTGCACTCGCATTTGCCGCCTCCGGATTCCAATTGCGGACAAGGGCTTTTTCAGGACGCGTCCTGGCATGGCACAATACCAAAACGTCTTACAGGCATGCACCTAACAAAGCAACTCTCACAAAGGATGCCTTCACCTCCAATTTATAGGTTTTGGCCCAGGTGCAATATTTCCGGCGCAACAGTGACCAGCTTGACAGGTTCAGTTTTCGCCTCATGGCCTGAGTCGCCATCGGAGCTCTCGTGCGGTGAGCGAAGTGCCACGGAATCTGCTTCTCAGGCGGATTCTGACGAGGAAGGCGGAGGAAGTATGATGGTGTTATTCAGAAGATTTCAGAAGGAGGGTGACAGGTGCTGCAGAGCCTTCTTCAATCTTCCGGTGCCGCGGACTTCCTTCAATGACGACGACGATGAGGATGGGGATGGATGAGGATGATGAGGATGATGATGATGATGCTCTACCAAGTCCCGCACTCCAAAGTTCAAGTGAACCGAGATGAACAGAGCTGAACTGAACTGCCTTCGGCAATCGTTCATTGAACCCGACAGCCCAGACTGAGCATCCGCTCACAACCTTGAAAAAATGCCGAGTGCAGTGTGGAACGTCCAATCTCTGCACCCATACTGGCTGATGAGTAATAAATATCAGACGGAAGCGCCTTCAACTTCATCGAGGTTGGCGACCGGCAGCACAGGCAGTATAGTCTGAGAGCCCCGTCGACCCACCTTGCGACAGCAAAGAAGCAATTGCTTGCCTAGTTGCATTTACCATGCTCAGGGGCATTTAGCAGTCAAGCATGAGGACATGCATCTCCATAGTGCGGGTTGTCCACTTGGCAAAGAACAAGAACTGGTCTTTGCAACCGTGGCACGGATGATCGACGCCCGGCTGTTGGAGACTTCTTGCTACTCAGCGGGAGAAGGTCAGAAAACGAGCAAGCCGCATGTTCAGATTCGCCGGATGATTTTAACCGAACTTTCCACAAAGCTTACAGTGCGGTGTCAGTCGCATCAGTATTTTGCCAGCAAACACTGCTCCACAACAACTTCACCCATGCACAAACTCAAAGCACTCCTCGATGCGTCGGAGACGATGCTGGCTCGTGACGTCAACTGCACACAGGACAGTCTTGCTACGATGCGACCCCTCTGCAAGCCTTTGTCAAGGACAGCTTTCACACAACACGAGCACTCAACCTGCCGAATCCGACAACTCATCTTGCCTTGTTCAAAGCCTGGTTCGGGGCCGCCCCGCTGCCGATGCTCAAGCGCACAGAGCCCCTGCCTTGGTGCAGGACTGAACACTGCTTGAGACCTCACCTGCACATCAAGCCCAGATGCGGGGGCTGGGCGGCTCCTCGAGCGCAGTCGACTGTCGATGGTATGACTGCCTCAGGATCCCCAACACAGTGGAAACTCTTGTGAGCGCAGCCTTCACTTCGGTGCTGCAGCCTGATAGAGTGTTGCTACATAGATGTGGAATTTGCCACGTGAGCCTTCAGCGAGTGATCTCAACCCAGGTCGACACACTGTTGAAAAAAACAACAAGCCTACAAGATGAGGCATTCCAGGACAAAGATAGACGTATCAGCAGCACTGCACACTGGTGCTGGCACATGTCACTGTCTGCCATGTGCCGATTTCAAACGGAACCCTGGCTCTTCGCACTATCCGAGCTGGAATGCTGTTGAGACTGCCGGCGACCGCCCACAGATCCTCGACGACTTCCATTCTCCGATCCAGAAGCTGGTCTCGCTGGGGCCTGACATTGCAGTACAACTGAGAGCATGATTCTGTCACCATCTTCAAGCTCCTACAAGTACCGGGTCCTACAACGTCAGGCCGAAACAGTGGTCAGCTGGACACGCTGGGAACCGCTAAACTACGAAGGCCCATCGAGGATAGCGATGCACCGGTCACAAACTGCGAAACTCGACTTTGCGTCAATCACCACTAGACACGGACTGCTGCAGCCTGCCAGAAGTTTCTTCCAAACTGCTGCTTTTGGAAGCAAGATGCTCTCAGCAGTCTCCACGCACATCTGCCCTAAAGAATATGCCTCTTATAGCGAATAAGGTGAGAAGACTTCGGCATGTTTGAAGGGCTTTAGTGTTGGTCGGCCGAAGGATTTAGGTCTTTGTACCAGTGTTTCGTTCACCGCTCACTTTTGATGCGCATTCGTACTACACCTGGCGCTACTGCCACTCTCTTGCTATTCATCAGGCCATGTTGTCAGACTGCAAGAGAAACAGTCGATCCCTGCGCACCCGATGCGTGGAAAAGAAAGGACACCCGAACCATCAATCAAAGAATACCCTCCACCCTTGAAGAGCCACATTTCGTTCTTACGTTCATGTTGGCAACCACGCATTGACAAAGTTCGTTACTTTTCCACTATCAACAGCCAGCACAGTATCCACGTTCGTGCAGGCAGCACATGATTTGACAACACGCAACATCAGTTTCCACTGTGCGATCATGGTGTGTCCGTCCTGCTGCAGTTGGTGTCGACCTCGTGTAAGCACAAACGTCAAGGACTCCTTCCAATGGTATTTGCTTTCACCAGAGGGGAAGACTATCAATGCATGCACATGGCGTGACTACGCGCGGCTACTGTAGCAGGTGGAGCATGACAAACGCTCTCCTTCGCCTTGACCTCGATCTCCAGCATCACTCGGAGAGGGCCAGCGAAGTGAGTAACTCAGTGTCAGAGAGATAACGAAGTTCTTTCGATGTCGGCCCCTCCGACTTCAGTCAACTGTGACATAAACGCATAGCGGCATAGCACCATCACGAGCGAAAAGATACCCATTGCATTTGTAAACTTGAGTTGCACACCGCTTTGTGCAGAGGTGAGGATCTTGTAAACGCGGCATTGCCCAGACTTTCCTGCAAACTGCCGACTGCATGGAACATGTTGCACCTACAAACCTTTCAAGACATCTTTCTTGCTGCCTGAGCCTGTTCTAATAGCTAGGTAAGATTTGAATCACAGCTGCGTGCTAGCCAGCATGTGTGAGCCAGCCGTCTTGGAGATATTCCCGTTGCCTGACTGCGCGGCAGCTTGCTCCGCCTGCATCTTACGCAGCCCTCCGAAAGCCGAACGAAGCTCTACAGATCGAGAAGCGACATGATTCTGAAGCTACTTGCCTTCAGCATGGTTTGCCCGCGCTTCGTCATGCCCTTCTTCAAGATTTTCGCATCATCTGCAGAGCATGACAGTTTCTCCACGTTGCAGACTAAGCCCAAGTCTCTCTGCTACCCACCTTCCTCCTCCTCTTTCTCCTCCGAAGCCAGCTGCTTCACCCGCTTGCCCCAGCGAGTTCCCTGGAGAAGCCAGAGCTCCTGGAACATAGACATCGAAAGCCTCTATGATATGATGTATGATACATATGTATGTATATATATAGAGAGAGAAAGACAGACAGAGAGAGAGAGAGATGTAGATGTATGCTACATCTTGCATGCTTTACCTATGATCCATGGGGATGTCTACACATAATTACTGTTGGTGTCATATCAACCATGTAACGTATACTTGTGCTGCTCGTGTAGTCGATACGAAACGAGTTCAACAGACTTGCCGAACTGCAGCACCTGACATCCCACCGACTGTTTTCTGAACCTAGCGGCCAGCGTGCTGTTTGGTTCCAGCAGCTTGGCGCGCAGCTCGGCTCCTTCGCACGAAGTATGACTGCGAAGGGATTCACTGTGTCGGCGGGACGGCTAGTGTGATCCGGGCCATATATGTCTGCACGCACGTGTGCTTGCATCCTTACGATCAAGCTCGAACAGGGTTTGACCCTGAAAGGAAAAGCGCTCTTCGAGAGACCGTCTTCGTTGGCCATATGGGAAGCTAAGATTCTGAGCAGCGTCACCCGGTCAGTCTCCAGCTGCCTCGGTCCATGTTCGACAGAAGCTCTGAGCGAAGCAAGCTCCGGCAAGCCTTCGAAGATGGCCGAGCATTCGAGTATCAATTTTTAAATTATCTTATATTCTTCTATATCATAAAACATGTCACTGCATTACTTTATACTATAGAACATTGCATTGCAGTATATTATGTTTTATTTTGTGAGTCAAATTGGCCCCCCAGCGAATGGATTTCCCGGGCATGCTGGCAGAAACCTTGCCGAATCGTTGTTGCAGCTCTGAACTATGCACGAGCGTGCTTGCTCAATTACAGCAACTACACCAGGCGAACTTCAGAAACTCTCGTTGTGTCAAGTTGCACTTGAGGATTTTGTGCCATGCCGGGGCCGCCATCCGGGCTCCACTGCCCTGCACAACAAATCCGAAAAAGGAAGTGCTACCTGCTACCTCCATCCGCAAAAGAGCTGCCGTGGTCCTCGGACGCAGCATGGACCATCCACAAAGTCTCCTCGCGGTCAATCCGGGTCCAACGAAGGCTCATGGACGGCTGCGACATGCTGTGACAGAAAGTAAGTAGTGCTGCATATACCGTGAGAAAAGCACAGGAAAGGCGTTTCTGCTGCACTTCTGGCCAGGACACCAGGAAAATCCTCATCACCTCGAATGCTGTGACAAAGGGGGGATCATGATGACATACGATGACAACATGCATCAGTTCAGACGGGACGAGCAGAAGTCAATTACAACAATGCCAGAGGCGCTGTCCGTCGACTTTTCAGGGTAAAGCTCCAATCGAACTTCCTCTACGACTCTCTCCAGTGATGAGTCCTGCGGCGGGGCATGTAATGGCCGCCGAATTAAATCAGGATGTTTTGGTTTTCTTCTGAGAATTTATGGTGTTTCCTGTTCTGTACCACAGGCCTAGGCGGGCGACTGTATTTCACCTAGTCTTCTGGAGAGGTGACTTCCGACCTGTGCATGGGGCTTGCGATGGCGATTCCGGTTCATCATATAACTTAGACACGCCGTCTCATTTGGCGATTCCGGTTCACCATGTGTCTTCAACATGCCTCCTCATTTGTCGATTCCGGTTCATCATGATCATCATATACACATATATATATACACATAAATTTATATATCTCAAACACGCCTTCGCAGTTGGCGATTCCGGTTCATCATTTAGCTTAAATATGCCCCCTAATTTGACAATTCCGGTTGCTCACATGTCTTCAACATGCCCCCTCACTGGACGATTCCGGTTGCTCAGATGTCTTCAACATGCCCCCTCATTGGGCGATTCCAGCTGTCATGTATCTTCAACTCATTTGGCGATTCCGGTTCATCACATATCTCAAACACGCCGTCTCATCTGGCGATTCAGACCGGACCCTTGAGGCGGAGGTTGGCTTGAAAGAAAGCGGGTTTGGGCGGGGAGGGGGGGGGGGGCCAATTTGCAAACACGTCTATATCACGATTTTTGAAAGGGTCCATGTGGGCTCTCTGTTCTTGCAGCAGTAGTAGTAGTAGTAGTAGTAGTAGTGGTAGGTGGTGGTGGTCGTAGTTATCGTGGGCCTCAGAACTCATTTAGTGAATTTAGTGTTTCGGCGCGCTTGATGAAACCACAAGGGCGGACAGGATCAAAGCGGAGCAGGACGAGAAGGATGAGGGTGGAAGCAGAAACGTGAAGCCGACAAGCAGAAAAGCAGAGGAGCATAAGACCGAAGCATAATCGCAGCGAAGAAGAAAGCTGAAAAGCAGAAGCAAGAACAAGCAGAAAACGAGAAGCAAATAGAGGCAGAAGGAAGGCAGAAAGAACAGCGGAAAAGCAGACAAGCGGAGGAACAGAAAAGCGAAGCAGACGAGCAGAGAAGCGGAAAAGCAAAGGCGCGGACAAGCACAAAACTACAAGCAAGCAAAAGCAGCAGGTAGAAAGGGAAACAGAGCAAAGCCCAGAGGATCAAGAGACCAGAGGACCGCGGATCAAAAGACCACGGGACCAGAGGACTGCGGGACTAGAGGACCACGGTTCCGGAGCAGCAGCAGCAAAAAACACACGAAATGCCGATAAAAACAAAGAAAATCCTAGAACTCCGCATGTAATCGCTTAATCTAACTATGTAGTCCGGTTGACTCATCTCCCACTCGCCTGGCCCAAAGTCCGAAATGCCTTTGGAAGCCCAGCCAAATGGGCGATGACGGCACATCAGCAGTCCCGACTTCGGGGTCACAGTCAACATTGTGATGTGAAAGCATCCCTGCCTAAGACAAAGAGCATCCCATAGAGTAAAGTTCATTCTTGACGAACCTGTTCCAGCGAATCGAAGGATGCAGCATCGTCATCCTGGACAGTTTGACGCATCACTCATGAAGGTGAGCTCACCTTCTAGATGCAGTCTCGCGGCAGACACGCACGAGCCTCGGCCATGAAGCTATGTCAGTACGTGCTTTATTGCACAAGCATGCTGAACATTGCCGCACATGTTGCATGTTGATAAATGACGAGTGCGCAGTCTGGTTGCTCAAGGTGCTACCTGAAAGATCTGAGCCATCCACTGTTTCCATGTTCGGGTACAGGAACTGCAGAGAAAGACGCCTCACCAACCTCTGAGCTTCGGGTGGCTGTACAGACGAGGCGCTCAAGCTGGACACATCTAAACAGTCGCAGCCGCAACGCCGGGCCTACCAACAAGGCTATGAGCTCTTCCAACTACAACTCTGCTTTTGCTGGCAACAGGCTGTGCCTAAACCGAGTCCAGGTGGGGAATATTTGCTACTATGTTACAAGTTATAAGCGGGATTGCCTCGTCACGGTAAGTCCTACCGGCCGCCTCGGATCCCGATCCGATTCCACTTTTGGTGGCGTGGGCTCTTAGATGCTTCGCTGGTAATCTGCTGAATTTCGTGCAAACTATGGCATGGAGAAGGCTGGCATGTCATTCGAAGTCCCATTTCTTCGCTGAGGTCAGTCCCCTTACACTGACATCAATAACACTCGCTGAATCTTCTCTGCATACTTTTGGCCGAAGCGGTTCAATCGACACTGCTGGTTCAGCTTAGAGCTACGGTCAGACTGCGCTTGCAAACCTTGACCTTGAGTAACCCTGACTTCGGGGTTGGATGTGCTGGGACTTGCAGACTGCGGCCTCCCACATCGCACTTCTCGCTCGACTGGGCAAAACTGCGACAAACACGGTACTGCACTTCTGGCCCACATAAAATGCATTACAGTATGTCATGACATGTCATAATATGTCATAACATGTCAAAATAGCACGTGATTTAATCTAATACAGTACAAGTTCAGCTGAGCATGGGACCAACTCGCAGAGCTCCCAAATGGACAAGCGATCATTCAGTGTTGTAGTTCGGTCCTGGTATCCCAGTGTCCAAGCCAGAGGCCACGTTTGAACAGGGGCGGCAGGGTAGAAGGACGTAAACAAGGCTGCCTTCAATGCTCTGCTGCCGGACGGTCTATCCTACGCTAGTACCACTACAAGCAGTGTGCCAGTCAATCGAATCGCAGCTCGCATGTGCTAAGAACTCTTGGCGGTTTCGAGAACACCTTCAAGAAGCAGTACAATCGTGTTGATCGGGCTTCCCAGGTTCTCAAGGTCAGCATCCTTGGCAGTACGCAGAGCATGGATGGCGCTTCCATCCAGGACGTGCTCGAGCTCCTGACAGGATGCCCTACAAACATTATGAATCGCACCAGCACTTCCTTATTCACTAGCTCTTCGTAGTTCTCTGTCTTTGGCCTCGAAGGTCACGCTGCCATGACCAGGAACATGGCCGCTCATCGATCCATGGGGCACACGGAGCACTACATAAAAAAAAAACTATGTCGAGTGTGTTACACAAGTGAAGGAAATCAAATTGAAACCAACGATAGCAAAAGTGCACTCTTCGTCCGCGAATGCAAACGCTGATGAATGCATGGAGTTGGACATCGTCGAAATTGGGCATAGCTGACCTCCGGCTGAAAACAAATCCTACCCTCACCGATGCATCGTGTTCAGCCAACATCGCAGGCATCGCATCTACACCTCAACAATGCTGCATGGGTGTGTGTGTGTGTGTGCAATGCCTGCTACGCGCAGTCTTGCATTGAATCCGGCTCTTTGAACTGATGCGTCCATCCGCCAAGCGTCCTAAACATGCTTTAAGCACGTAGATACACTACAACTCGAAGCTGAGCAGAAGAGTTGTTGGTTCTCCTCTCCTGCTACAGCTTCAGCAGCCTTCACATGTTCTCGTTACCCGGTTGACGGGGAGCTGGAGAACCTGTAGATTCTGCGCAGCCCTGCGCAGCAAGAGCCCCGCAAGAAGCTAAATCTGATGAGAACCTACAGGCATCGGGAAGGGGTAGAGACTACACAAGCTGCAACTGGGCGGCCTGCGCGACTCTTGCACTTCCTGCAAACGACAAAGCTGTCCTGACTGCCTGAATTGGCCAGCACGGAGGGTCACACGTGCATCCACACAAGATCCGTGCCAAGCCGCAATTGCGTCAACAACGCCGAGGCTTGCGGACTTGCGACGGCGTTTTCACCTGGCCCAGTAAAGTATTCCCAAACGCATCGAATCGAAGCTGGTTTCGCTTGCACGGTGGCAACGCAAGCTCCTATAGACGAGCCGCAAGCATCCATTGCGACGCCACGAGCCACAGCATCAACCTGCAACACCATGCGGATGCCCAACGTCGGAAAACAAATTTTGCGCTGGCTGGCTGAGGAGAGCATTATCAGGGCTCTGTCGAGGCCTCGCAGTGTTCTCAAGAATGGGAAATCACAAAATGAGCCCTTCAGCCAGGAGCCTCTACTGCATCACGCTCCATGTCTTGGAAGAGGTGAATCACTTCACGCCTCAGGTGAGATCATATCTGATCCCATCTCCTGCTGCAGTCTGTTCCCGTGCAGACTCCGAGATCGACAGGGAAAACTAACGAGCATCTGGCCATTGTCCAGCACCTCTGAACGTAGCCATTGCAGAGTTGTAGGCCTTGGAAACATGTCGGTTATTCGGCAGCACAACGACGACGGCTCATGGAAGTCTGGGTGCAGCGCAGACAAAATTCACCCAGCTCTTCCACTACATGCCGAAACAAACAACTCCCTAACATGGATGCTTTCTCGAACCGCTCGAAACGCGGAGCTGGGGACCACCAGATTCAGTGTCTGCTCCTGGAAGTGCAGCTCCGTCAGGAATTGCACAGAACGGCGCCAGCTGTGGCCTGAAAGAAGACAGGCAAAACTAGACAGCAGTACGAATTGAGCAGATCCTTATGGAAGAGTCCAGAACGGAAGACCGATGTGCCAGAATGAAGAATCAACACTGAGTAGTACTCTGAGACATCCGACAACAGCACATCTGCATGCAGCAATAACTCGACAACTCCAGCCTTACCTGGTCAACGCAGCACAATTGTTTCTGTTCGCCGCGTGTTCTGGACGAATTGAAAGGGCCCGTCGTTTTGAAATCTGCGCACGCAGCCAAAAGCGGCCGATTCTTCTCCGGCAGATTCCAGCGCTTGCAGGCAAACAAACGGACGGATCAGCCAAGGCTTGGTTTTATGACGAGAGAGCGCCCATTACTCAGTTGCTTCCGCATCATTGCCACCCCAGAGTCGCAAGTTTGAGGGAGAAAGGAGGCGATGCACCGAGCATGGATGCAATAGCATAGAACCATTGATGACGAATACTTACATGATGCTCCCCATCCAAATCTATACGAAACGCACTAAGTCATGGCCTTCACCTGCGGCACTGATGGCAGAGCTGGTCAAAGCCACGTCTCTGTCTACACCTTGCAGGGGCAGGTGACCTTTTCCCACCGCAAGAGTTGCATGGCCCTCAGAAGAAACAGCAGGATCAGTACAGTAGGAGAGGAACAAGACACCAAGAAGCCAGATCCCGCATCCCCGACTGCGTGCCAGCGCCTGAGCTCAGTGCCCGGGAATAAAGTGCTAACCCATGTTGCCACATGCTGGCTTTCGCACATGCACTGATGGCGGCACCTGGCCAGCTGCAACGCACTGTGCCGGAGCAACTACTGTAATTAAACTGCGTCGAGTCATCATCAGTTCGGCCTGACGAAGCCTGACAAGCAGCCGCTAGTCGAGCAAAAGAACCAAGTCAATCAAGGCACTGAAAACCACACCATTCACTTCTAGACTCTGAGCCAGAAGTGAGGAAAGAAGATCCAGGGCCCATTGCCACTCTTCGTTCTTTTCACAGGCACTGACCGCAGCTCCAAAGGAAACAACATTGGACAAGTTCTCATTGACTGCTCGAACCAATAAATGCAAAGCCTGCTGCCAGTTGCCAGCTCTGTCACAAGCTGTCGTCGCAGCCGTCAGGGTCACTACATTGAGCTCAATGCTGCTGTCGTTGACGAATGCCAAGTAGTCTATAGCCAGCTGCCAGCGACTCGCGTGGCTCAAGGCACTGATGGCGGAGTTGTATGGGATCACATTCGCCTTCCAGCATAGTAGTAGTAGTGGTAGTCGTCGTCGTCGTCGTCGAAGTCGTAGTCGTAGTCGTAGTAGTGGTAGTGGTGGTAGTAGTAGTAGTAGTAGTAGTAGTAGTATTCGTAGCAGTAGCAGTACTAGTAGTAGTAGTAGTAGTAGTAGTAAGTGTCTCGGCCCAGACGTTGTTTTCCGAGTTGGGGCCATCCATCTGTGCGGACGCCATTTCGCTTAACGCCGTTTT